ATAACATATAAACTAACAACTAGCCTAATCCTACTTCTGATTTGTAAGCATAAGATAATCTAGAAAATTATTGGCGATTAAATATACAGTTTATAGATGAGAAGAAAGCCTATTCTTTAAATCAACAAGGCCTTTATAACTAAGTCAACCGTATTTGCAAGTCAACGTTTATCTCCAATATTTGATCTCGGGGTCGGGGGTAGATGCCAAAAAACAGAGGGATAATTTAAGAAACTCCCTTGAGGTTTTTGGTAATTTCCCGTAATTTTTTTAAACTTTTAAAAATTACACATATCTCCCTTGAGTTTACTGTTTTGGTAACAAAAACTATTTAATGGTCAAAATTTTGAATGAATAATCCAAAATGCTCTCATGAAATTGTGAAGTTCGTTTTACCTTCTTATAAAATTCTCTAAAAAAAATATGAAAATGGCACAAAATTTCAAATCCACTTTCAACTCTCATATCTACTATTTTAAACTCTTCATATTCCCGCATCTTAAATTAGTACCATTATCACCATGATCACCCACCATAATCCATAAATTCTAAAACCTCAATCTAAGTTAAAAAAGGGGAAATAAAAAAGCAATTCAGCGTTGTTAAACTCAAAAATGTTACTAATAATATCATATCCCTTAAATGTTGGAATATCAACATTAGCTCCATTTTTTTTTAAACCTTCAGCTTACATCTTCTTCTATTCATTTCCAGATCCGCCAAGCAAAGTCAAAATTAATTTGTAATATGTTAAAATTATGTTTATGAAATAATTAGTTATTTCACGAGTGAATCTTATTTTTGTTTTCATTAAATGTCTAATAGTGTGATGCATTCATACAAACAATATTAAGAGCGGATTGTTTAATTGCATGAAAAATATTAAACATATCATGGTTATTATGATCATTTTGTAGAGCCAAGGAAGGTAAGTGTAATATTAAAAATTTCAAGGATACTAAATGAAATTGTCCGAAACCTTAAGAGAGGTTTTTGAAATTATCCCGAAAACATACTACTACCGTACGTATTTATATGATACTAGCATGCCATCTTTTACTCTATAGTAGTCTAGTTAGGACTCGGCATATTTTGGGGCAAAAGGTCAGTGATATATCCCCTAAGATCGGAGTTGTCATTTTCGTCATTTAATGAACCAGCCTTGCTTCATCTCATTGGTTAATTATGATGGCCGGCCACACAACTGGATAACGATATGTTGCATGAAAAGGAAATTCTAATATATCTCCATTTAATGTTTAAAGGGTAAACCAACAGAAACACAAATTGATATACGCTCAATGGGAAAAAAAAAATGATTGCAGGTGAAGTTGTGAGAAGGGAAAGACCACCTATTGTTCTTGTATTTCTCATCATGATAAACCCCAACAGGTTCTTCTACCTGCAGGAAGTTAAATGCTACCAATGATCAGTAACCATTTATAATAGAAACTTCTATCATGGAAGGTGAGAAATTGCAATTGCAGGTATACAATCATGCAACATTAATGGATGGACTAGATACATCTGCTTAAAAGTTGAAATCTAGTACCTGAGAAAGAATGCACTGCAATGATTGCAGCTGGTTCCTAATTATTGAATCACCAATGAGGGCTAATGTAGGCTTAAAATCAAGGAGTTTCACGGGATCAAAACTTGCGTAAATCCCAGCCTCTCCCTGTATCAGGGCGCCCATTCTTGATACAGTTTTGGGGATCTTCAATGTGAGAGCATGCATGTATTTGTTGGTGTAACGCGGACCGCTTGGATCTGGAACCCAATCTCCTATGAGTAAATTGCATTTTGCTGCTACAACCATACAGCTTGATCATCAGAAAAAGTATCAAGCACAATTCGATCTTCTTAACAAGGGACGAAGATTTAGGTGCTTGCTTAATGAAAGTGGCAATGACTTGTTTCTACAGCAGATGCTGAATAGTCGGTGGCATCAAAGGCTAAAAATTGTACTACAAAACTCGATAAGTACGGATAATAAGCAAGTCCCACGCATATTTTATATGTGTGTAAATTACCTCCCCACATACTTTTTTTTTTATCCCATATATCTCCTATATATTTTTGGTGAATTTTTTGGATTCTACATCCTCAAATTTCAAAAAAAAAAAAAACTGATGAAAAAGGTTTCTTGTTGCTGAGGCTGTAACTCAATTCTTTCATCCACAAAACTCTGGTAAGAAAGTCCGTTACACGCTAAATAAGAAGAGAAATGATCAAATTCGAGGAGAATTAACTGCAGATTTTTTTAATTTTTTTTTTCGTCCTCAGCTAACCAATGTTGTTGATCATGATCCGACCAACAGACAAAGTTAGAGAGAATTTGTTGGTACGTCATATAGCAGTATTCAAGTGACAAGAAGTTAGCATGGCGTAAGTAAATCATGAGTGGCAGCCATCTGAATTTGATTTGCCAATCCTTTTAATCATTGAGATGATTAATAATGTCCATGTCTCGTGTTTGACCAGGAACTGTGAAGATATTCTGACTCCAATAATAGTTGGCATACTGAGAATTCAGAACACTACATTAAGGTATTGTGTGTTTTTTGGGTGTTCGCGCCGCCCGGGAGGTGGGTTTGGGGGTGTTCGGGCTTCCGCCCCACATCGCTTGTGTGTGGGTTCTTCAGCCTAGACTTAAGTTTCATGGGAGTTTCGTCCTATCACCAATTGGCTGGATATGGATTCTCTGTGGATTAGATTTAACATGCATAACTTCCGAGTGTTTTTAATCTAATTGTGTGCGTGTGTGAGTTTCTTCTGTTTTGGGAAAAAGTGTTTTATGGGATGCGTCAGTTGGACTGAGATTTGCACTCAATTAATTGAACTCTTGTCTCTTCAATTCATACTCTCGTTTTATGTACATCTAACGATTGAAAATACACACAAATGCTCTTGAAGCTACAAGTACTTTATCTTATTTTTGAAGTATTTTTGAAACTTTATCGTATAATTTATTTGTTCTTTAGATATATAATATCTATCACTCAAGTCTTGCGTGTGTGGGTTTCATAATGTAATTTTTGTCATTAGTGCATATTTTATTTTTTTTGCCAATAGTGCAAATTTTAATAAAATTAGGATTTTTTATTTAAAAAAGAAAATCATATTCCCATTTTAATTCGTTTGTAATGGTAGCCAACCTAACTACACTACTATAAAATTTGAAACTGGACCGGACTTTTGTTTTTGTTTTTGTTTTTTTTAAAAGTGTCAATAGCAGGAGTTAAATTCTAACCATTTTACTTATACACCCCTCCTATGAATCACCCATTCCGTTTTTCAGTCCGCATGGGGGAGCAGCCATTATGAAAGAGCAACATTTTGTTCCAACTTGGCCCGATTAGTAACAGAGAGAAAACCACACACACGAGAAGAAAATTAAGTTCGGCCCAACTCTCAAAATTATGGGCTGGGTTCCCACAATTTTTGGCGGATCTTTCCCAGAGGAAGAACTAACCACTTTGGGCTGGAAGTTACCTTAATCCATCATCAAGACCCAACTCTGTAGGTGGGAATTTTAACCAAGTGATAATGAGGACTTTAATATTAAGTACTTTCTTCTTTCTAAAGTTAGAAAAAAAAAAAACTTTTTCCTTTCTCCCATATAGGGATAATAAATAGGCGATGGAAAGGTATCTAATTTAAATTAGAGTATCCCATGAACAAAATAATAATAATAATAATAATGGGTTTGTTTGGTTAGGCACATTGGCAAAAAATTTTTTTTCAAATTTTGTTCTACTTATATTACGAATACAATTCTCAACCGTATATTTATTTCACATACATCATATTATAAAAAATATTGTAGTATTATTTCAAATAATATTCTATCCAAACAGCCCAATAATTCACAGTGTAAAGTACGGTGCATATTTGCAGCAAGTTGCGTAAAAATATCAAACGAGACGGTAAAAAAAAAAATACACTAATTAAGCTACAAATCTTTTGTTTTATGACTTTTATCTATCTTTTACAAAAAGCACATGAACCGAAATTTAGCCACAAGTGTGGTAGGGTCAGAAAATGACTACTAGATAATGATCAGTCCATTACAAGTCAACAAAGAAGGTAAGACTTTATAAAGATCATTCTTCTTGCAGCTGCAATTGCAATTGTCGGAACCGAAGGAGGAGCATGATCAGCTGGACTAGTAGGAGAAGCGTAGCATGCAGCCGAATACCATGTTTGCTTGTGCAACGGATTAAGTGGGTTTCCACTTTGATGCACATTCTATAAAAAGAAGGGGCTGATTTTTGACATGAAAATGGGATGCTGAATCAGATAATGAATTTTGTCGCCGCTGTTATGCTGCGTTTCGTTTTTCTTGATAATGATAATTAATCAGTTATGCGTGCAGTATATAGATTGAAAGTTACAAGAGATGGCAACAGGGCATCATCATCATCCTCCTCAAAGCTAGGTGACTTTGGCCAAAACATGGCTGCTACATTGCAAGTAATATATATATATATATATGTCTCATCGCAGCTGAATCAATTGCAGGACCAGACATATCCATATCCATATCCGGCCCCAGCGCATGCTATCGTGATATCACATCTGGTTACCAATTTAGCATGAAAGAAACCAACCAATACCTGCGCTTTTATTTATTCAACCACATACTCAAATAGACACTCACCCTTTATATCCTATCTACGCACGTATCCCTACCAACTTACAGCACCGTGGAAATGCTGCTTGTCACGTTACAGTGTTGAATGGTACCATGAAAAAGGCTGTATTCCACTCCATAATTCGTACCAGTAACTAATATCATTAGCCCTTTTTTTTTTTTTTTTTTCTTTTGGGCTGCATAAAGTTGACGGACATCAGTTGCCAAAGTTCGTGGAAGTAACTTCTTGGTAATCTATACGTAACTTCTTCACTTTAGTACACTTGGTAAAAGGAAATATTGAGAGTTGAACCTAAACGTCTGCCTAAACTATCAAAGAGAGTTTCCAAAACAAATTACAAGATTAGAAAGAAAAAGGGAAACTTGAAACGTTGCAATTAATTGCCACATGCATCCTAGAAATCTAGATTTTTGGCGGTGCATTGATAGCACTAACAATGCTAGACAATGATTTGCAGTGCATTGTCCGTGCCCGTAGCAAAGCTAGACAATGGCTTGAAAGATGTCTTATATAGTACATGAAACGATATATGGAAATATAAGAAGCAGTTACAATCATTTACCCTTAACCTGTTTGATTCATGTATCTCTCTACATGATCTTTACCTATTTCCTCATTGAATTAATCCTATTATAAACTCTATAAATCCCGCCATTGATCTTCACAGTCTTGGGCTTTTCCTTCATCTGTCCACAAATCCTCCTCTTCCGCGTACTCCTTTCCATTAACTTGCACAAAAAAGTCACTAAAACGGAAGACCTTCTTGGTTTCTTTGATGCAGCAGCTTCTTCAGTTGCAGTTGAAGGTGAAAAAAATGATGGAATCACATGACTCGGTGCATGAGAAAATCGAGAGCTCCTTCCCTGTCTTGATCCACTAAGAGATGGCAAAACCATGATATGTCTATCGATCACATGGCTAAGAGAAACCAGTTCATATGAATCATATAAAGGGCTCCCACAATCCCATATGTGAGGAATTGCTTCTTCATCATCATCACCATCATCTTCTTTTACCTCTGGTTTTCTTTCATCGCGATCAGACGGTGCCCGTGACTCTTTCATCTTTGATTATGATGCTGATGATACTGCTTGAGTGGAGACTGGAGAGTAGACTGTTTCTTCTAGTAATTCAGCGCCATGTTCTTGTCTCGGCCACCTACAGGGACTGTGCGACAATTTTTGCTAGTGGGAAACCAACCGTATATTTTTATTAGTTTAGGTGAGCATCCAGATAAGAAAAATAAGAGTGCAAAGTTCCATAACTCTCCCTACTCTGACGGCCTTGACGTTGTGCTTCCTGGCAAGTTAAATGTCTTTTTGCACCGGACGAATACTGAGTATTAGGCTAAATCAGGGGTCCAATGTATGTGTATCTGTCGAAGAAGATGACAGATCTGCTCATTTAATATAGAGAATGAGGTAACGAGGTATACAATCAATAGCCCGATGCCATAGTGCGTATGGCAACACATATGATTATTCATTCTTAGCTTAGGTAAGCAATTCGAGTAATGATTGGACATTACGATGGTGCTTTTGGCGAGCAACTTTGTGAATATGTTACAAAGTCACTTTAAATTATGAAAAAATTGGCCGTTACAATTTTTGCTTACCTTGCAACTCTCCCCAAAATTTTCCCAGTCCATAAGGTATGAATCGCTTCAAATCATCTGTTCCGAATTTTGTCTCTGTCGTCCTATATTTATTTAACTTCCATTTGTATTATGCTGTTGGACTTATTGTCCAATAAAATCTTAAGAGATATTGGTTGTTGGAATTATTCACAATTGAATTCTAAAAGTTATTAATCAATACACATGATTATCAAACCCTAGTGAATATTCATATGTTGGGTATTGAGCTTGTTGAGACCTCTTTACCAAATTCTATCGGACTACTTGTCGACCACTCCTTTTGGATATCAAACCCTAGTGAATATTCCATTAGTTGCATATAAGGGTGTTCGCAAATCGAATGTCCAATCTGTGAAATTCACAAAAATGGGACAATAGCCATTTTGTGATCCGTATCTGGATCTTCTAATGCAGAAGACATATGGACATTTGCATTATATGCTGATTGGATTAATCGGATATCTGATCCATATCTAATTTTTAAAATTTTCTTTTAAAAATATAAATTCCCAAGATAAAATAATATTTTAATGCATTAGAATTTAAAGAATATCACATATATACACACACACATGAGTGATGTATAGTACTAACTTTCACCATTCTCTTCTTTTAATCCAATTCAAACCAATAAGACTAAATACTTCTCGCAATCTTTTTTTATCCACAAATTATATGACAATATGTTTAAAACTTAGCATCATATACAAAGAAAACCTATTTCGAAAGAGAACGCAGACATAAAAATTAAGAAACAAGAAATAAGACTCTATTGTGTAAATTAACGAATTTAATGTGTATAAAAATTTCAAAAAATAGGAATGGATATTTTTTGAATCACCGCCGAATCAAGATGCACACTCTTAGTAGTTGGATGACAGGAACAAGAAGGGTAGTTCAATTTCAGGTGTGCCGTGCCTCTCACTATTGCTTGCTCACGGAGAAAATAAATCGGGGGGTCTTTTTATTTATTTTGCAACTGGACTTAATAATCTGCGTTTTGCCTGAGTGAAAAGGTCAGTATGAGAAACAAAAGAAATCGGGTAATGAAAATGACGACGACAACTACGGGACTATTAATTTGTACAACTTGGAAGCATTATTTATTAAGTAACCCCAACAGAAATGAGTAACATGACCGACGGCCTAAGCCTAACTAACTATAATATATTAATTAAACAACTCTCTCTCTCTCTCTCTCTCACACACTCTTTGTCTCTTACAGTTTCAGTTACAGTCTGTACTATAATCAGGTCTGGCTGGCCGTAATTGACAGATTCAAACTAAAAGGCAGTACTAGAGTAGCTCTTAACAACGTTATTACATAGTATTTGCAGCACTTTGTTATTGGTGGGGCCGACACATCGCGGGGTCTTGAATTGACTCACAGCAGCCCCTAAGCCCACATAATGATCCAATATCTTGTGGAAGGTTCCTCTCTTCACAATTCTGAGCTCAAGGGCACCGATTGCTTTAACTTTGCGGGAGCTTATGTATCCGGCATCAAGAAATGATTCATCCAGACAATTGCAGCATTCCTCTAGAACCTCGTCGCTTGCTTCCCCGCTTATTTCCCAGAATATGACGTAGTGCCCCGGTTCGGTTGACGAATCAACTCGGCTGGTGAAGTCGACCACTTCTAGCTTGTTTTCTGCTAGAACCTTGGCTGCAGCTTCAACTGCTAGCTGTAAATCTTTCTCGGTATTCTTGTCTATGTTGATTGTCAGCAAGAGATTTCTCCTGCAAATAAACTGGAGTTCTGGGGTGGAGTTGTGGAACCCTTTTACCTTCACCACATCCCCTAACCTGTAACGGTACAGCCCTGCAAAATTGCACCACAAAATGCAAATTCATTTCTCAATTACATCCCACACCACACTGGGAAAAAGTGTAAAACCAATAATGCCAAAGTAACTGGAAATCGTCTTTGCATGGTTTATGGTGCATGATTGAAGGTTTTTGCACTTCATTTTTACACTCTGTTTCAACCATTTTAGTCAAATCATTTGTGTGACGTGACGCATGTTATCTGTCCGATCTTTTATACCACAGTTTAAGAAGTCCATCTTTTCTAAGTTCCATCCAAGTGAAGTGATATGATGAGTTGGTATTCGTAGAAAAAAAGATTCTGCCGGACAAATAAAAAGGCACATTACAGGGTTGAATGAGAAGAAAAATATCTTTCTTTTTTCCTAGTCACTTTACGGGGTTGTTGCTATGCTGTCTTCAATCACATGAATGGCATCCATGATGTCAAAGACAATCACTACTAATTGCTTAGACAAGTAAACAACGTTATCTGTAAAGAAGATTAAAATAGTGGCAGGCACACAAAACAAGCAATGTACGATGTCAATGGTAAGGCACGAGATCTGATGACCTTCATATCTTACTGGACACGATGGGGCACATGCATGGTCTGAACGGCGAGTTTTTAAACAGATGCCACCTCCTACAAGTCTGTAACACCTAATGGGAACAGAGTCCCCCCCACCCAAAACCAAAAAAAAAAAAAAAAAAAAAGATCTTTGCAAGCAGTGTCATTAGTACCGTAATCTAAAAAAATTCTAGCCACTTATGGGTTGTGCAGCTGGTTTAGTCTTCTGTTTAGCATGTAATAATAGAGACGAGGTTCTTCCTATAGCCACAGCCCAAAAAAAAAAAATACATACAGGGCGTTAACAGAAATAGATTCATAAAAAAGACAAATTTTGTACCTGCAAAACTTGTAACGATAACTTCATACTCTTCACCAGCTTTAACTTCAGCGAGACCAACAGCCTTGGCTTCTAGGCCATCGAGACTTTGCCTCAGAGGAATAAACTCAAAATAACCAATATTTGGAAGAACAGCAAAAGTGGCCATCTCAGGGGGCAATTTTGGATTGACGTTCACTCCAATCCATCCTTCAGAAGACCCATAATCTGCACTTAGCAATGGTAGCTCTCCTGCATAATGCCTCAATTTTTTCAAATACGGCTCCATGGAACCTGTCATTATCCCATATATGTACCTGGTCTTGGGAAATAGCTCTGGGATCAATCCGTACCAATTGCTCAATCCCTGACACTTGTTATAGATTAAATCAGCCAACTCAGGATTTGGCTTGAGCAATTTTGACATTGCCGTTCTAACTGATGGGACAGAAATTCGGCTGCTTAACACTCCTTCCCTGATATCAGTACACAACTCCTCCCAGTCCTGCTCGAATGTTCGGAACGCATGAACAATGCTGTGAGCAAATGTAGAGGAAATTACTTGAACTTCTTCACGCTGGATGAGTCCACATAACAGATGGCAGTATAATGATTGGTGGAAATCCGGACCAAAAATCACTTCTTCAGGGCTGCAACATGGGCTCTGCATAGCCTTCATCGTTCTCTTGAACAATGGGTTGCGGTATACATTAGTGGTGGCAGTCCCTGCTGCCAAACCTCCTTTCGTTTTAAACTGCCTGCTACCATAGATGAGCTGCAAACATTTCCCATTGCCAATTGGGAATTCCCTGCAAGGATAATTATGTTATTTTCTTCCATCGCTATCACTTCGGTCATACATAATTTAAACAAGGACTACCACACGACAAGTCAATGTGGATACGGAAAGCCATGTAAGGAAAACCAGAAAAACCAATCAAATTTTCTGCTCGCAAGGAAGTGAAGCACTTGCCTGTTCCTAAAGGAATAGGAAGTTTTGTATATCTGCATGGTGGATTCCATCAGTTCATCATTGAAAGGGACAAACTTGGGCATCCCACGAGTAGTACCGGAGCTGCAATAAAATTCCAGTTATCCAAAGCTGCCATAAACGGTACATGTGTGTGCGTGTATATATATTGTTTCCATTTTCCCCATGAATGATGAAACTGAAAATTGATTTACCTTAAGGAGATGGTTGTTATTGGGTTTCCGGTAAGAATTGAAGAATCATCACCATCAACAATCCTATTGATGTAAGGCTCCAAATCCTCATGAGTGACAAGAGGAACGCAAGATTTGTAACTCTCAGGATCAGTTCTTCCATCGAGACCCCATCTCTGCAAATACTCTGTTCGACCATTTTCTTCAAGAATTTTCTTCAGTGTTTCTATCTGAACCCTCCCAGCATCTCTAGTCATTGCCTCAAATTCAGCTATGACATCTTCTGGATCCAAAGAAAGAGGCATCTCCTCCAGCATCCCCATATTCCTTCTAGGAGCTGTTAAAACGATTTAAAATTTACGATAAGGTTTGAATCCAATTACTAAAGCAAGCCACTTTAATGACAGGGCTAACCAATAAGATAGTGACACAATTTAATGATGCTTCTATGCAATAGAAATGATTTGACAGAAAAAAAAAGATAAGTATCAACCTATTAAATTGTTAAAAAAAAAAATCTGTTGAGGTCAAAGTTCATAAAGAAAGCAAATATGAAATGGAGAAAGTTCAGAGAAGCCCATAATGATTAATGAATCCTGGAAACTAAACTTATAGCCACCTCTGTCCCCATTCTGTGGACGGAAAGGTGTTCTTCTTTGACGCAAGTCAACGAAGCTACCAGTAATCAATAAAACAAAACAAGGGCAAAAAGAAAAAGAAAAAAGAAAAACCCCTCCCCCAAGAAGAGCTAAAAAAAAAAGAGAAAGGAAATTCTTAAATACTGCTGTACTAAAACAGAGAAGGAAACATCAGAGGGGGAACATAAAGCAAGAAAGAGAAATCCCAGATACATACAAGGCTTGTAGTATTATTAGAATCGGATGAATCAGCAGATTCATGAACCTTTTAGGACAGTTTTAATGCACGAGAATAAATGAGAGAAAGTACACGATTTAGTTAAAGCTGAATGAATTTCCAAAAGTTTTGAGGGAAGTTTTAGCTTGATAAATTCATAAAGTAATCTAGTATTCTAGTCTAGTATAGTAGTAGTATATAGTATAAAACTAGCTCTGTA